AATGAATGCACTTTAGTCCACACTGCACAAATCTTAATCTTTGAAGAAGGCACCTTCTTCCATCTCTCTTCCTCCTCCTCTGAAGCAATTTCCTGAGCTGTGGTCTGTTGCTGTTGCAGATGAAGCTCTTGCAGTGGTTAGCTGTTCATTGTGCTCCTCCACCAACTCTTCCACATCCTCCAAACTCACATCCAACCCCATGGAATTCCCCAATGCCACAATTGATTGCACAACAGGTGTAGGGTCGACAGGGAAATTTTCCTAGTGACCCATGCCCTACTGTTTTCCTTCCACATCACACACAGTTTACTCTTGACAACACTGTTTTTCTTAAAAACTGGGATTTTCAGAGTGATACACCAGCAAAGGCTTCACCTTGAAATCCCCACTAACATTACCACACAACAGAGAGTTAGCCTGTCTTTCATAGGCTTGTGTCCTTGGAGTGCCTTTTCCTCCTGCATAATGTAGGTCCTCTTTGGTATTTTCTTCCAAAACAGGCCTGTTTCATCATAATTAAACACTTGTTGGGGTTGGAATTTTGTTTTCAGCCTCTTGTTTGTCTGAACTGGCACCCTCACCTTGCTTTACAACACTGTGTATGCCACTTTGCTTCTTGAATTTTTCAAACCAGCCTTTGCTGGCCTTAAATTCACCTACATTAGCACTTGTTTCAGGCAGTTTCTTTAAGAGGTCGTCGTGTAACTGTTTTGCCTTTTCACAAATAATTGACTGCACAACACTATCTCCTGCAAGCTCTTTCTCTCTGATCCACACCAGCAACAATTTCTCCACTTCTTCACTTGTTTGCGATCTCTGTTTGGTTATCGCATTCACCCCTTTCGCAACATCAGCTTCCGTGATTTCTTTTCTTTTTGCCACAATGGAGCTGATTGTTGATGGCAACTTCCCATACATCCTGCCGAGTTCAGCAATGCGTATGCCATTATCATATTTTCTTAGGATTTCTTTTTTCATTTCTACGGTGTTCCTCACTTTCTTTACCAAAGGACTGGCACTAGGAGCTTTCTTTGTGGCCATGGTGGCTTATTTAGCAGTCACACACAATAAACAAGTGGCAAAAACAATGGATTATTATGAAATGTTTTGTATGACCAGGCAGGATATGTTCACTTACTGAGAAACAATGCTACATTGGCTGAGAATGGCGTGGGAGACAGCTTTGTGCACTCGGCACTGGACAGGTTCCATACAGTCGACAAAAACGGAGGTATTCAACGAGAACGGAGCCAAAAAATCAGCAAAAAAAGTCGGCCAAAACTGAAATCGGCAATAATGGAGATCGACGAAAACAGATGGTCCACTGTATTTCTACTTCTACTTACACTTAGGTCACACTACACATACATGTACAAGTATATATATACCCTCCCCTCTTGGTTTTCTCCTATTTTCTTAATACGTAGTTATTGTTCTTGTTTATTTCCTCTTATCTCCATGGGGAAATGGAACAAAATTCATCCTCCGTAAGCCATGTATGTCATAAAAAGCAACTAAAATGCCGAAAGGTAGTATCCCTTTCTGTATACATTACTAAAGTTATGAAGAGAAACTTTTGTTTTTCTTTTTGGGCCACCCTGCTTCAGTGGGAATCGGCCGGTTTGTTGAAAGAAGGAGGAAGATTAAAACAACTGATGTTATATTTTAAAGAAATAAATGAAAATTATTTTCAAAGTTACTGGTACATATTTATAACTTTTTATAACTGGAAAAATTCACACAATTGGTTGGTACTTTATCCTCGTTATCCCCGGGTAACTTAAAACTCGTTCAGGATAGAGATGACCAGGCATCCCCATTTCTGGTTTCAAATTGAGCCACTGAAAGCCAATGAAAACATGTAACACTGAAAAAAGGTGCTGTATGTGTGGGTCCCTCCTGTATCCACATTACTAAGCCAATAACACAGCGGCAGCAGCCATGCTGTTCCATACAACTGCAACTCTGCTCTCACTTGTACTTTATACTCTGTAATAGACCCATCTGTACTCAGCCATTGTATTACTGTATTCGTGGTGATCACTCATACTATGGACTTTTTGTAAAAAAGTTGTAAAAGAGTTTTACGCTTTTTATGTTAAAATGTTATCGTTATTATATTATTTTTATTATACTGTTGTTACTGTTTATTTTTATTTTTTTATTGTTTTTATTATTGTTTTTATTTTTGTTTTCATTATAATTGTTTTATTATTCTCTATTATTCCCATACTATACTTCTTTCAGTTGAAGCATGGTGAGCCTGTGGCATGTACTGATGTGGCCCATGTAGTGTTTGTTCAGTAGTATTTCACATTGCTGTTGTATGAGAATACTATAAGTGACATGAGGTGTTGTGTGGCAGAGAAGAATATGCGCCACTACAGCCAAAATCAGGGGTAGCAAGCGAATCAGTTCCTCTATTGATTCCTTTGGCAATGCATTGATGTGGGGGTTCTGCAACTGCAAGTTAGGCTTGAAGCCCCATTACAGAGTGTGGGAACTTGAGCTTCATCGCTCTGATCTACCCCACTGCATAAGAATCCTTACTTAATAATCTGTGTCTGAATGTTAAGTAACATTTAAGCATGGAAAAAAAAGGGCAGAGGCGAGTATAGGCACTCCTTTTTTGTTGCACTTTTTTTGACTGCATGCTACACTCACATTATGCTTCACACAGACTTTATATATATATCAAAATATGCCTAAACTATTCATGTACACACTAAACACAACAATCAGTCTTAACGACATTGTAGAGGGTAAAATCCAAGAGTATATTAGGATTTGTTTGCTCAATATGCAATGCATACTACTGGTGCTCCTAGACTTATGATGGTTCAGCTTAAGATATTTCGACTTTACAATGGTGTAAAAGCAATTACTTTGAGATGAAACTTAAGATAATTACCCAGCATGAAGGTGGCAAGTCAGTAACTTGTATTAATTTATTAAATTTTCAATACTGGTACTTACAGTAATTATTTACTTACTTAGCATATCATATTCATATTTGACTTGTTTTACAATATTTTTGACTTACAATGGGTTCGTTGGTACGTAACCCCTTCATAAGTTGAGGAGCACTGTAGTGGTTTCCTTGTGCCTCATTTTTTTTTTTTTTTTTTTAGTAAGTCGGCCGTCTCCCACCGAGGCAGGGTGACCCAAAAAGAAAGAAAATTCCCAAAAAGAAAATACTTTCATCATCATTCAACACTTTCAACTCACTCATACACAATCACTGTTTTTGTAGAGGTGCTCAGAATACAGCAGTTTAGAAGCATATACGTATAAAGATACACAACATATCCCTCCAAACTGCCAGTATCCCAAACCCCTCCTTTAAAGTGCAGGCATTGTACTTCCCATTTTCAGAACTCAAGTCTGGCTATATAAAAATAACTGGTTTCCCTGAATCCCTTCACTAAATATTACACTGCTCACACTCCAACAGCTCGTCAGGTCCCAAATACCATTTGTCTCCATTCACTCCTATCTAACACACTCATGCACGCTTGCTGAAAGTCCAAGCCCATCGTCCACAAAACCTCCTTTACCCTCTCCCTCCAACCTTTTTGAGGATGATCTCTACCCTGCCTTCCTTCCCCTACAGATTTATATGCTCTCCATGTCATTCTCTCTCTAAATGACCAAACCACCTCAACAACCCCTCTTCAGCCCTCTGACTAATACTTTTATTAACTCCACACCTTCTCCTAATTTCCACACTCCGAATTTTCTGCATAACATTTACACCACATATTGCCCTTAGACAGGACATCTCCACTGCCTCCAACCGCCTCCTCGCTGCAGCATTTACAACCCAAGCTTCACACCCATATAAGAGTGTTGGTACCACTATACTTTCATACATTCCCTTCTTTGCCTCCATAGATAATGTTTTTTTGTCTCCACATATACCTCAATGCACCACTCACGTTTTTTCCTTCAATTCTATGGTTAACCTCATCCCTCACAAATCCATCCGTTGACACGTCTACTCCCAAATATCTGAAAACATTCACTTCTTCCATACTCCTTCTCTCCAATTTGATATCCAATTTTTCTTTATCTAAATCATTTGATACCCGTATCACCTTACTCTTTTCTGTGTTCACTTTCAACTTTCTACCTTTACACACACTCCCAAACTTGTCCACTAATCTTTGCTGTTTTTCTTTAGAATCTCCCATAAGCACAGTATCATCAGCAAAAAGTAACTGTGTCAGTTCCTATTTTGTATTTGATTCCCCATAATTTAATCCCACCCCTCCTAAACACCCTATCATTTACTTCTTTTACAACCTCATCTTCAACTATATTAAACAGCCATGGTGACATTACACATCCCTGTCTAAGACCTACTTTTACCGGGAAGTCGTCTCCCTCTCTTCTACACACCCTGACCTGAGCCTCACTATCCTCATATACTTCATATGCAGTTCAAATTCAAATTCTTTATTTCTTTTATGCAGTACACAGATAATATAGTTTACATGTAATAAAATATTGTTAAGCACAAAATAAAGATGCTACCATGCTGTGTTTCAACTTGTTCAGTAATCAGTTTAGTGTGGTGTGACTCTTATTATTCTTATGTAATTGTTTTGATGTGTGAAGTACTGGATAACTTGTAATGTTAGTTGGATCTAAGCTTGCAGCTAGCGAGCGAAGATTTTTGTTTTATTGCTGTGTCTATTATAACTTTATATTTTACATTCTATATTTTCTTTATTATTTCCTTCCTCTTTTTTCTTCTTGTTCTACTGCATATAAACATCTCATTTAACTTTCATGAGAGAGTGATTGAGCGAGTGAGTGAGTGAGTCAGTGGGACAGATGGACACACACTTGCTCTCTCACCTGTATCCCCCTTCCTTTCCCTCTCTCCATCCCTCCTTTTCTTGATCAAACTTTTTAACTCGCCCAGTGATCCCAGAACTTTATTTCTTATTAATTCTGCTACGTGTTTTGTCAACGTGATTTTCTTTTCTTTGCAGTTTCCGCCGACTCTTTGGTGACGACGAGACAGGCTCAGGAACTAGCCCCAAGAGGAATTTGCTCGGCCTGGGGCGTCCATGAATATTGCTGTGGATCCAGTGCAGATGGTGCTGATTCTGGGGCAGCGAACCAATTTAAAATTACGACCAAGCAACAGCATGGCATTTCACGTTCATATTCTTTCTCATGTCAGACTAAGAAGAGAGAACACTATCAAAGAATGCCTGTTAAAGAAGATCTTTTATTAAAGAAAACTAGGTTAAAAAAGGACCCTCTAAGAAGGATCTCTTTTGAAGGTCTTCCATCATCATGTCGGAGCTGCAAACATATGGAAACAGAACACTTTGTCAGTTGTACTAGAAGGCATTTTGATAGTAGTGTTAGGAAATGTTTTCTAGCTAGTAACACTAGAGAATGTTTCCCAGTTAGTAGTACTAGAGAACAGTTAATAAATAGGAAGGTGAAAGAATTCTTCCCAAGTAGCGATATGAGAAGACATTCTCTAGACGGTAGGGTTGAAAGGTGTTCTCATAATATATATAACAGTCTTACAGAGCATTCTTTAGTTAGTAATAATAAAAATCATTTGGTAGATACAAATGATAAACAATATTTATTAGACAGTGGAAAAAGCTTTTTGGAAAATAAAGGACATTTTGTTGACAGTGAAGGAGTCGACTGTTTCGGTGGTAAGCGTCTTCAGAGAGGCTTCCTAGATGGCAATCATGAAGGATGCTCAGAAAACAACATTTGTTATAGTCGTGACAATCTTCTCTGCTCACTTCGAGATGATACCTGCCATTGGTACGACTCAACATCCACCAGAGTGCTGGAGAAAAAGTATATTTTTCAAGAAGTCGACTGTCTGCCAGTTTTGCCTATGGGGTTACGTAAGAGAGATTACCGGCATGTCTCTCGTTGCAGTTACAAAGTAGATTTATCAAGTAAAAAGAGCTTTATCGATTGGAAGCACAATGATTATGATGACTTTTTTATGTCCAAATTTAGATTTACAAAATTTTATAGTTTATATCTTGGCCATAATCATTAAGCATAACATTATCATTTTATTTTGTATGAAATATAATAATTTTAGATTTTTTGTACTGGTGTGGATTGGATGTTTTGTTTTTCTATTACTCTGTTTATAATTTAAAAGTTTAGTAAGCATATATTGTACTATATTGCCCCAAATCTAATTATGTACAGTGTATCGTTGATCTACGTAAAAGCTTGTCTACAACTTAAGTTCCTCTATCTCGTGCTTTCCAACTTTCTATTCCTTTTACGAACTGTCTTCGATATCGATGTTAATGCGACAGAATTATCATGCACAGGATAGACTGGCAATTTCCGCCATACATTTGCAAGCAAGTTTCGTTAAGACAAAGCTGTAACTATAAGAGGGCAGGATATTATACCAAAGGAATAGCTAATACTTTATAAGTACAGTATAAGAGAAATTCGTGTATATGAGTAGAGTGATATATTTTCTAATGATTAGAATCCATATTAAGAGAACTTTATGAATTAATATTTTAACAGCAGTAATTAAGGGTAACAGCAGACAGGTATATTTTACTGATGCTTTTGGGAAAATGTTCGGATAATTCCTGTCTGGTGTACATTAGGGAAATGATGTGATAAATATTTGTTATGAAATATGTATCTATATAAAGTGCATGCTTTTTTGTCATTATATGTATCTTAATAGGAAATTTTATAGCCTAGGCCTAATCTCTTAAGAACGTCAAAACTATTAACTAGATCTTTTCCATATATAGCGTGGAGGGAAGATAATGGTTATGAGAGTTTCTCACATTATACAGTACTAATATAATATATATGGCCAAAAATAGTATATTTGTATATTTTTTCTATACATTACTTCACCATTTTGAACTTTCATGCAGATTACACTGAGGTTACTAATATCTGCTGTCTGCTTTTTTATGCTTTATCTGTTGATGAATAGTAATAATAGTGGGGAGACAGTCAGATGTCTTGAAAGTAAAGTTTACAAAATGTAGTAAAGTTTAATGCATATTTTTTTAAACACACTGGGCATCTCTCACCAAGACTGTGACCCAGAAGAGGAAGCGCATGCACCATCATTCATTCAATAGCTGACTTGCCAGAAGTGTGTAGACATTACAATTTAAATAAACCTCTGAACTGCAACATTCTCACCTCTTCTCACTCCAGGATTCAAATCCAGCTAACTGGTTTACCTGAATCCCTTTTATAAAAGTTGCCATGCTTACACTCTATACATACATACATGCAAGATGCATGTTTGTATATTGATAAGAAATGTATAACTAGTTTTGAACTTTATATTTGCAAAAGTTTTTGTTAAAACTTGTGAACTTAATTTTGTGTTCATTCAAAAATAATGTGTTGTCCTCCTAAAATGAAAGACAGATGTAAAATGCTGAAATACATATCATTACTACCTCATGGGGGACAAGGCTCTGTTTTGTAGCATTTCACGAAAAATATATCTAAAAATATTTTGACCATTTAAAAATGTGATGTAACTAAGTACATGGACACCACTAGTGGGTTGACTGTTATGCAGGCTACTGCATTATTGGAATAGATTGTATACAATGTAAGGTGTTCGTAGCATGATGGGGTGCTCCATAATTGTATAAATAATGTCAGCGCCAAAGTAGACATCGTTTATATAATTATGGAGCACCCCGTCACACTACAATCTATTACAACAATGCAGTATCCTGCATAACATTTGTCTATAATCCCAAGTTGGTTGGTGGTGGTGTACTGCTGTTATGGTCCTGTGTGAGTGATGTGCTCATGTGATGGTAGGCATTTTGTGTTAGACTGGACACACGCATGACTGAGGTTGAGGTTGTATTGGTAATTAATCTTGTTTGGAATATGTCACTAATTCAGAGAAAAAAAAAGTTGGAATGGAAGAAGTTAGTGTGGGAACTTTATCCTTTCCCCACATGTCAATTCATGCAAGTCCAGGTACTGTTCTTCTTTTAAACATCCATATAACATGGTTAATACAAAGGTCTTCAACAAGAACCAATAACTATAATGTATGAAGTTTAACATCTTTTTTTTTTTAACACACCAGCCGTATCCCACCGAGGCAGGGTGACCCAAAAATAAAAAGTTTTTCTTCTTAAATTTAGTAAATTATACAGGAGTAGGGGTTACTAGCCCCTTGTTCCTGGCATAATTATAATATGATTTTCACTGCAGGCAAGAGGAAATTTTTTATATGCTAATCATTATTAGCAAAACCAGCATAGAGATATGTTGAGGAAATACATGTACTCCTGTTGTTTGTAAGAAAAGTGTCAGTAGAGATAAGAACAAGAACCTACAGAAATAATGTTTGCCATAGATTTTTTTTGTATTATCAAGACTTATTAACTCTCGTATGATAAAAGCATAAAAAAGCAGATGCATTCCTTCAATGTTAGACATTTTTCTGTAACAAATGACAAAAAGTAAACCACCAATTGAAGCTGGACCTAAGGAAAACAAAAGCTATGAAATAATATAGTTTTTCTGGGTAAAAAAGTATTCATATTTTTAACCGAAATTAGAGTTTTTAAATGTGTTACTGGATTCACAAATAATAATATAATGGTATATTCGTGGCAAATTCTTCATTAGAAGTCTACAAATACCTAGGCAAAGATTTTGCTTAGTGGTCCATATAGCAGATGAGTTAAGATATATAAGCTTCTGCTTATTCATGGTACATAAACATAATTGATAGTCATTTTGAACATTCCATCCATATCCTGTCCATAAATCAATAACTGATATAATGGTTTAGGTGCCGAGTCAACATGGGTATGACTCAAAAATAGCAATATGTGTTATTAAAAAATTTCAGTTATAGATATAAGGTATTCGACGAGAAGTGAGTAATTGATGCTCACGTGTGTAACTTTACGTATAACCATTATGCAGCGTTGTATGACCCCTAGGGGTTTAGCGCTTCCCACTAAATAAGATGAATATAATATAACCATTATCTTGACTCCAGCACACTGCATTGTTGTAAATGTTAATTTCTGTCAGAGTTAAAAGCTTTAATTTTAGTTAGAAATTTTGTTATGAGAATGCACACAATTTGTAGCTAGCTCCTCAAAAGTTTTCCCTAGATGCAGTAATTACCAGTGCTTAAGACTGTGTTGCTTTGGTAAGTAATGTCAGCAGTTGCTTGGTGTGTTTCAAGTCAGCAGTGGTCGTCTCCAATGCCAGTATTACAATTTAGATTTATTGTCTCCTTTTAAAACAGATATTGTTTCTTTATCCATAAGCTTTTTAAAAACCTGTCTGTTCCTAGCTGGTTGTAAGGCTTGTCCCAGTTGTTACTAGGATAGACTCATTACAGTCTTCTCTTTGGCAACCACACTGATGTTAGGAAGTATTTCTTTAGCCTTAGAGTTGTCAGGAAGTGGAATAATCTGGAGAGTGAAGTAGTGGAGGCAAGATCCATACATAGCTTTAAGAAAGGTATGATGAGGCTCTTTGAGTGGGGAGAGAGTGACTTAGTAGCGACTAGCAAAGAGGCGGGGCCAGGAGCTGTGACTTGACCCCTGCATCCACATATAGGTGAGTACTGATATAAAAGTATAGTATTACTCATGTTTTTATGTTCTTACCTTTACATTTAAAGAATTATAGCTTTACTTTAATATTCAGACAATTAGGTACACACAAATACACATTAACATGCATGCATACATTTTTCTTTTTAACAAATCGGCCATCTCCCACCGAGGCAGGGTAACCTGCAAAGGAAGAAACACTTTGACCATCACTCACTCCATCACTGTCCTACCAGAGGCTTGTCAATACTACAGATCAAATGAAGAGGAAGCAGAAGGGAAAGGAGTTGCACTGCTAATCAGCAGTGAGTGGAGTTTCGAAGAGATGAGAAAGATTAACACAGTCAATTGACTGCATAGCAGGCACACTCAAGACTGGAAACTTGAAGTAGCAGCAGCAGAAGTGACCTGCAACCCACCATCAGACAGTAGGAGACCAAGATAGGCATGTGATGACAATGGCAAAGCAGTGGTTGACATCATAGCACAGGAAGAATACATATGGCAAAAGCAAGGACTAAGAGATTTTAACCACAAAGAAGTAGACTGAGGAAATTCTGACGCACGAGTGACTGGAAACATTCAGAACTTAGATGATAGAAGTGGTTAAGGAAGTGTGTGTCAGCATGTCAAGAGCTCAACATGATGATATAAATGGCATACTGCCAGGGTTGCAGAAATTATTTCTGAGAAGGGATACAGTCCTGATCAAGAGTTTAATGTTAACAAAACAGGGTTATGTTGGAAAAAAAAAAAGTCATCAAAAACATACATTAGCAAGCAAGAAGAATTTGCACTTGGGTTCAAGACAGCAAAGAATCGTTTCACTGTACTTCTGTACACAAACCCATACAGGTTTAGCATTTTTTTTTTTAACCTTGACTGTCTCCCACTGAGGCAGGGTGACCTGAAAAAGAAGAAATGAAAATTTCTCCTCTTTTTACATTTAATAATCTATACAGAAGAAGGGTTACTAGCCCCTAGCTCTTAGCATTTTAGTTCTCTTATGACACACATGGCTTACGGAGGAAGGATTCTTCTCCACTTCCCCATGGAGATTAAATATCAACAGCTTGGTGTTCCCAGGTGGTCACCCACCCAATTATTAACCAAACCCAATGTTGCTTAACTTCACTGATTGGATGAGAAGTGGTGCATTCAATGTGGTATGGCTACTGGCACTTACAATGGTTATATTGGATTATTCCATCTGCTATGTGATATCAAGTTCAAGCCTGTGCTAATTTATTGTGCACAGACTCTCTCTTCCTTAAAAGAACAAGGCAAAAACCATTTTACCAATTATTTAGTTGTGTAACAAGTCAGTTTGGATGAGTGAGGCCTTGTTTGTTGACCAGTTTAAGCAGGCAGGATGTACTTGGTCAGAAAGAATCTTATGTTCGAGGTTTTCCTGACTCCTGATAATTCATAGTCATCCTGAAATCCTGTAGTCTCTTGACCCAAATGGGCAGAGTTGTTGTTACAACCCAAGATGAAATCTTTCATACAACCACTGGGTCAGTGACTTAGACATTTAAGTGCCACCGCACATACAAGGTCATGGGGAAGCTCATTGTGGTAATGAATAATGGCTCTCAAACTTGAGTGCCAATGTTCAGGGATGCTTTTAACATTCCAGATGCACAAGTACATGTAAAAGTGACATTGAATGATGTACCCCAGTTAACCATAAATGCAGGCTAGGGAAAATTATAGCCTACTCTTGTAATTTTTCAGATTTTTTCTCACTGAGGAGGTAGGTCAAGAAAATTGAGTCTGGTGAAGAGAGAGGAGATAAAAAGAGAGAAGAGAGAGAAAGGGGAGGCACGAGCTTGAAGATATGTAGATAGAAAAAGTAAATGAACTGCTAGATGATGATGAAAAACTATAGAAGAATACACAAATATCACACACACAGGAGAAAGAAACCTACGACGATGTTTCAGTTCGTTGTTTCTCTCTCCTATGTATGAGTTATTTGCATATTGTTCCAGTCACAGTATTGTGCCTTTTTATTCCTTAACTGTAGAAGAATTGCTGAAGAGGTAAATTCCTAAATGAGAGAAGGTAACAGAGGAGGATATGGTTGAAGAACTGTATAGAGACAACACTAAAAGCTGCATGAGAAATTCCATATTCCTGGTGAACTTGCTGACTCTCTTCCTGAAGAAGACCCTGACAAGTCAGCCTTGTTCTGAAGCAGCTGATGATACTCTGTTGTCAGATGTGTAAAGAACTTGTGGGTAAAACAGAGTAGAGACGCATTACAGAATTCTTGAGCACTCCAGTGCATCTTACAACTTCTAACAACTCTCCACTGATATCAACACAAAAGCCACAGTCATCCATACCAACTCACAAGCCACAGTCATCCATCTCAATCCAGTGGAGCTATGTCAACCATCTTCATTTTACATCAACAAGCACGAACAACAAGAATTTTGACAATGAATTGCACTGTGCAACATTTGGGTATCTTTATTCTGTAGATGTTTTGCCAACCAGTGGCTTTATCAATGCAGTGTAAAAGACTGGAGAGGGTTGAAATGAGGTAATCAGTCCTTCAGCCTCGGAGCATGTATTCAGTACCATAGTCTTGATGAATCTGAAGCACAGGCAGCAAGATGTGAGCTTATCTGGAGTCAGGTGAGATGAAGGCATTCTCAGTGGTGGGTGGGATTCCCTAATGGAAGTACATCATGTTCAAGAGGTGGGTCAGCAGTAGTAAGTAGTAGAGAAGATGTCCTCTGTACCTAGATTCCTGTATTTTATTGATAAAAGCCACTGGATGGCGAAACATCAACAAAATAAAGATACCCAGATGTTGCACGTGTGTCTAATTTCTCATCTTGTCAGTATTATACACCACTGATGCACAACCAGAATTTTAAGTAAGATAAAATTTTTCTCGTGACTTTTTTGCCTATTCAAAAAAAAAATCATCTTTGTTTTTTTAGGAGGACCCATAAACATAATCATAATTTTTCTCACATGTTCTTCATTTTAATGAGTCACATACTTCACATAATGTGCCGATTTTCAGGAACTTACCCCACACATCACTAGAGGGTCTGTTTTACTTCTAAGTGAATAGGTTTTAATGTAATAGCTAAGGCATAGAAAATATTATATATAAAAATTCTACAGAGCTTATGTATTAGGAAACTTAAGCCTAGACATAATGAAACTGCAACTAACCTGTATACTTCGGAACACTTATGTCCTCCAGGCAGTGTGTGTGTATATACAGTGGACCCCTGGCTTACGATCAGCTCCCAACTCGAACAATTATGTAAGTGTATTTTTGTAAGTGCTTTTGTAAGTGTATTTTTGGGGGTGTGAAACAGACTAATCTAATTTACAATATTCCTCATGGGAGCAAATTTGTTTGGTAACGGCACCTGAACAGCCTTCTGGAACGAATTAATATTGTAAGTCGGGGGTCCACTGTTTAAGTATACATGTACAGTAGAACTCCTGTATCCAGATTCAGTCTCTGCCATTTTAGTTATTCACTCTTTACTCTGGTCTGAAAATGACCCTTAATTTTGCTTACTA